TGTGCAGGGTGTTATAGACAGAAAGGTGCCTGGCGCATGGGAGGAGGGACAGACCTGCTGGGAGATTCATGGCCTGCACTCTGGCTGTCCTGAATTCCACAAAGTTCCTTTGGTGTACATGACTGCCCAGAGGCAGATATGAGGCTGAGATATAAGGATGCAGCAAGTGTGTGGACTCTCCCCCAGGGTCCCCTGAGCAGGGAGGATCAGAACAAAGGCCTCAGCTCATGACAAACAAGGGCTCAGGGACCCTTAGCTGGAAAGGGAGGGGCACGCCGCCCTCTGGTGGGGGACAGGGGCACTGCAGCCACCTCCCCAGTCACAGACACAAGCAGTCAGGCTCTGTGTAGGGCTTTTATTGGGGATCAAGGGTGCTGCAGTGGGAGCATCAGGGCTTGTTGTGAGCCATGATCTCCTGGATCCAGGGTACGTATGTGGGGACACGAGTGGCCACAAAGGCCCATCTGGTGTGTTTGTTTTTATCGAAAAAGGACAAGATGCCCACCAGGGTCCATTTTCCTTTCTTGCGGCAGACCACGGAGCCACCAGAATCACCCTGTGGGAAGAGAAAGGCCTGTCTGCACACTGACAGGGCCCAGAGCCCAGGCGCCCACACCAGACCTGTCATGAGTTGGCAAATATCCAGGGTAGGCTGAGATCTGCCAGAGAAAGTCCACTTCAGAGGAGGCCCTGCTCTGCTCAAAACACTGGTGGGAAGAGGGGGACAGTGGCTCCGGGGGCCTATAAACAGGGAGTCTCCCAGCCAGCAAACCCATCTGAGGGGTGTCCCCTCACTAGCAGACACATCATCTGCCGTGGTGAGCTTGGTGGTGCTTGCTCCCAACACACACTCCCAAGGACGAGCGTGCCTGGTTCTAGGCCCAGGAGGATGCCACCAGCCTCCTGGGGGGACAGAGTGAGGGCTGTTTTGCAGGAGTACTCACTAAGTAGAAGCTGACACCATTGGCTCCAGCACAGAACATGGCACGGGCGTTGATGCGGGGCCAGAACTTCTTGCAGGTGGCCACTGACATGAGAGGAACAGTGGCCTGTTGCAGCCGCGTAGGTCGAAATAGGGCTGTTCACAGAGGACCAGTGTGGGCCAGGGTCCACATCCCTAGCCCACCCTCATAATGGGCCAGAGAGCTCATGCCACAGGCCCTGTCGCCTCTCTGAGTCATGACCAGCCCGGCACTCTGTAGTCCTTAGAACCTCCAAGGGCCTTCGGGTCCCAGCCTGGGTCAGGCTGACTTTGCTCCAAGCTCAGAGAATAAACAGCCCTTCCTGTACAACCTGGGGTGGCCTCAGTCTACCTGGACTGGGTAGGCACAAGGGTAAAGCTTCTGGCAAGGAAGGGGGACTCTCATCCTCCTGAATGGACACAGTGGTGACAGGAGGGACCCTCTCTATCCTGGACAAGGGGCCTAGCCCAGGGGACAAGGCAGGGGACCGGCAGTCAGGGCTCTAGGAGCACAGACACTAGAGAGCCCCAGGCGGGGACACCTGCCAGGGCTGGTTGCATCTGACCAATGCAGACATGCCCACTGGACCCGAGGCCAGACAGCGGGGTGAGTGGGGCAGGGCCCTCTGGGATTTGGCTGTCACCAAAGAAGCTTACAGGTCACGGACATCATGAACGAGGGTATCAGGGTTCCCTGGGTTGTCATTAAGAGACGGTTACTGAGATTCAGACACAGCTAAGACACTCTCAAGTTCAGGCAAGCCCACAAAGCAGAGCCCTCAGGGCCTTCCTACTGTTGGGTGTCCTCAGAGGCAAGGGCATAGTCACTTACTATTGGGGTACAGATACCCCAGGCCCAAAATTTTGCACTGGGTTCCAGGACGGAAGTAGACACCAACACTGGGCAGGGGAAGAAGGGACACTGAGTGATGGAAATGAGCAGGCGAGGCCAGTTTCAGCAGGGCGAGGTCATTGAAGGCCATGGTCAAGTTGAAATTGGGGTGTACGAAAACCTGTGGGGAAGTACATGGATGAAGAGGGGAGACTGAAAGCACTGGGCACATGCAGGAAGAACATGAGAAGAACTAATGGCCATCTTTGGCTCTAGTCTCCCAGCGGAAGAGTCACATCTTTTGGTGACCTTAAACCCGCATCTGCCTCCAGGGCCCCATCAGTGGGTCTGAAATACCTGCACAATCCTCAGAACTTGATTGTTAGCCGCAGAGACGTTTACATCAAACCACCCAATCAGAACTCGGTCAGAGGTCCTAGAAGGAGCAGGCCATCAGCATAGAGGGCAGACCAACACCCTCCCTTGCGTAGGCCATCTGGACCTCACGTGATATGGCAGTGGGCAGCGGTGATCACCCAGAACCAGTCGATCAGGGAGCCCCCACACTTCAATTGTCCAGTGGAAGCCTGTAGTTAGAAGACAAGGTATACACTGACAGGACTTTGTTCACAACTATTTGGGTACAGCCTGATGGGACTCTAACCCATCAAAATCCACTCAAAGGCAGACCATGCTCACCATCAGATTCACATGCCAAGGCCAGTCACCAGGACGAGCGTCGTTCCCATTGATGATCCTGGGTGTAATACTCAGCTCCGCATCACTGGCAGGGACCCCAATTCCTGGGGTCGCAGGGGGAGGGGAGGAGGATGAGGTGCAGTCAGTAGAGGAACCCTCAACCAGTAAAGCACCACCCACACTCCCTCCTGGCACCCAGTACATATCCAGGAGACACACCCCTGCCCGCGCCCTGTCACCCCCTCAGGGATGCAGAGGGACAGGCGGCTCCATCCTGATCCCCCTGCCCAGAGGAGCAGACACAAGCTGTGGAATCCCTCGTACACCCAGTATCCATGCTGTTATCTCAGCCACCTCTCACTCTCCCAAACTCATATTCCTCAAGAAATGGGGAGCAAACACTGCTACTCAGATCCTCAAACTTACCAAAGCTTTGGGCGAAATGTGCAGAATTGGAAATAGTGGAACACAAGGCCACTGGAAATCCCACTCTAACAGTTTCCTGGTAGGATGTAACCTCTACCCATGTAAATTGCTGGATATTCTGCATTGAACTGAAGTTTCTTTATTATGTTAGAAGATAGGACACCACCATCGGCAGACACAAGAAGGAAGCAAAATGAAGGAATAGGATTGTCCAGAACAAGGAGGACACACGGGGCCCTTGACATGTCCAGGACACATTTGCTGGGTCAGGACAGAGGATTCCCAGCAGCTCCCAGAATTTGGCCACCTGAAGGAGGGGGGCAGGGCCAGCCCCTCCATCAGCCAGGCT